AGAAGGCAGATTTAATTTTTGTCTTTTGGAATCAAGGTCTCATAGAGCCTAAGACTGCCATAAACTGAGTGTACAGCCAAGGATAACCTTGAATTTGCATTTCTCCTACCTTCTCTCAAGTGCTGGGATTTCACGGGTGTGCCACCATTACTAGTTTGTGTATGCTAGCAAGCATCCTAACCAATTAAACTATACCCCTAGCCTGACATTTATTTTTGGAGGAGGGGGGTCTAACTATGAAGTTCAGGCTGGCCTTGAACTCATGACAATTCTGCCTCCACATCCTGAGTGCTGGGATTACTCGGCTATGATGGCTAATCATTTCTTGTTTATTTGTTTTGAGACAGGGTCTTACTATGTAGCTCTGGCTGTCCTAGAACTCACTCTGTGGACCAGTCTGGTCTCAAACTCAAAGAGATCCATCTGCCTCTGCCTTCTGAGTGCTGGGATTAAAGGTGTGTGCCAACGTGCCTAGCCTTGTGGTGATTAATCTTGGCAACCTACTTAACTGGATTGAGAACTGTCTAGAGACGAGTAAAGCACACCTCTGGGTATGTCCATGGTAGAGCCTACAGGGGGATTAGATTCTGAGGACTCGTCCTGATCAGTGAATTAGTGCCCTGCTGGATTCATGATATAACAGTATCATGAATTATATATTAACAGGGAGGAGTTAATCCTTAGAGAGAGTGGGTCACTGGGAGTATGGCCTGGTGGGCCAGAACCCCTCCTGTACTCTGCTTTAGAAGGTAAGAAGCTTCTCTTACCACACGGCTGCCCCATATGGTGATGTTTTGCCCAAGTACAAGGGGCAGGGCAACCACGGGTCCAATCTTCTGAAACCGTGAGCCCAAACCAACCCTTCCTTCTTGTATTAGTTACTTATCTTATTGCTGTGATAAAAATACCATGAAAAAAACAATTTAAGGAAGGAAGGGTATATTGAGGCTAAGAGTTCGAGGCTATAGCCCACTATGGTGGGGAGGGCCTGGTGGCAGGAGCTCAGACTGATCTGTAGTCGGGAAGCAGAGAGAGACAAATGCTGGCACTCAACTCAATTCTCCCCTTTATGCAGCTAAAGACCCAAGCCCAGCAGATGGGTTTTAGGGTGAGTCTTCCCATTTCATTTTCCTTACTCTTGTCGAGACAGCTCCTCACAGGTGTGTCTAGTGGCTGTGTCCTGGATGACCGCAGAGCTGACAAACTGTCATTATTAACCACCACACTCCATTCAGGGGTCTTGAAGGTATATTGGTCACAGCAAGCCCAAAAGTAACAAATATACCTTTAAAATTAAAATTTAGTCCCAGTACTCGGGAAGCAGAGGTAAACAGATCCCTGTGAGTTCAGGACAGCCAGGGCTGTTACACTAGAAACTGTCTCAAAACAAACAAACAAAAAACCCAAAATAAAAATTTCTTACAGCTAGGCAGGTGATGGTGGCTCACACTTTTAATCCCAGCACTGGGGAGGCAGAAGCAGGTGGATCTCTCTGTGAGTTTGAGGCCAGCCTGGTCTACAGAGTGAGTTCTGGGACAGAAACCCTGTCTCCAAACAACAAAAAACAAAACAAAAAAATTCTCACAGCTAGTCTAAGAAGATTTTTTTTTTTGGACAAAAATCTTACTATATAACTCAGGCTGGCCTGGAATTCACCATGTAATGGAAACTGGTCTATCACAGTGAGCCTCCTGCCTCAGCCTCCGAATGCTGTAATTATAGCAGAGAGCTACTATAGTCCCTCAAGATGCTTTGAGCTCCATGTCACAGGTGAAGAAACTAAAGGTTTACGTGTCCTTCCATAGCACTAAGTTTGCAGAGGACAGTGCTGGGACTTGACATGTGCCCTCCTGATGGCCAAAGCTTCCTGTTTCCCCACACCCACCAGCTTTTCTCGCTTCCTTCTGTCCCTCTGAAGGAAGATGTTGCTGTGGAGTGGGCTGGGAGGGAGCAGCTTGGTGTCATAAAGGTGTGGATCAGTTTGTTTTCTGGGAGGAGTGCTGGCAGAGAAGATAGGCTATCTCAAGACCAAGGTCCCCCAACAGACACCGGAAGCCAAAGGACCAAATGCTCCTCTGGGCTCAGCAGTCATGATACCCCAGGCCTCTAACTCCAAAATGGTTCAAGTTCTTTAATAAAAAAAATGTTTATTTTTATGTGTGGGGTTAGATCCAAGGCCAGGATCACACATGTGGCTTGAGTCTGGTTTCCTCTTCTTTTCTGTTTTTTTTTTTTTCTTCAAGACAGGGTTTCTCTGTGTAGCTTCGAAGCCAGTCCTGGAACTCACTCTGTAGATCAGGCTGGCTGCAAACTCAGAGATCCACCTGCCTCTGCCTCCCGAGTGCCAGGATTAAAGGCGTGCGCCACCACTGTCACCTGGCTGAGACCTTTTCATTAGGATCCTCACAACAAGGCTACACTGTTTGTACCAGAATGGGGGAGAGGGAGAACAGCCCTTTGGTAACACTCCTGTGTTAACCCATTTTCTGCTGCTATATTAGAATACCATAGGCTAAGCAAAGCATCAACAAGAGAGGTTTAGTCTCTGTGTCCTGGAGGCTAGGAAGTTCATGAGCATGCCAGTGCACCGGGCGAGGGTCCTTATGCTGTCATAGCAAGACAGAGAAGGAGAACATATGGCAGGCGGAGGGAGACTGGCCCAGCCCATTCTTTTATCAGGAACCCATTCTGGCATTAATCTACCAGGTGATTAGGTAGCTTAACCACCTCTTCAAGGTCCAGCTTGTAAACTGACCCAATGATGATTTTTTTATTTTTGAGATTAAGTCTCCAAGTGCCCAGGCTGGTCTCCATCTACTCATCGAAGGATGACTGTGAACTCTTGATCCCCCTGCCTCTGCCTCCCAAGTCCTAGAATGATAGGTCTGCACCACTATGGCCAGCTGATGACAATAAATTCACCATGAGTTTGGGGGTGAACTTCAACTGCTGCTGTAGTCTGTAATAACTGTTCAGTCAGCATAAATTCCAGGCTAGCCTGAGCTAACTAATTAGGTCTAGGCCAGCCTGGGCTATAGAGTGAGACCCTGTATTGAAAACAAACAGACAAACAATAAAATATATAGCCAGAAAGGCACATAACTGTAAGGATGGCCATGAACCTCTGGCTTCAAAGATTCTCTTCAGGGGCTGGGGAGATGGCTCAGAGGTTAAGAGCACTGATTACTCTCCCAGAGGTCCTGAGTTCAATTCCCAGCATCCACATGGCAGCCCCCAATTGTCTATGACTCCAGTTGCAGGGGATCTGACACCCTCACACAGACATGCCTGCAGGTAAAACAGCAATGTACATGAAATAAAATAAATAAACAAAAACAAAGATTCTCTTTCAAAGACAGACATGAACTTTATGTTGTTGTTTTGTTTTTTTTTTTTTTCATGAGCACTTTCCACAGCTTGTGTGGCTCGTGAGTTAATGTTATCATTAGAAGATCACTGGGCCCACTTCCTTATCTCATTTGTCTCCCAAGAGAAAGACTGAGAAGAAATTCATTTCCTTGTGGGTAAAATAAGGAAATCAACCACGCCCCTCTTGGCCTGGCATGGAAGGTGGTGTCCCATGAGAGCAGTGGGTGGTGAGCCACTCACCAGCTCCTGGCACCACAGGGGCCTCAGCAGCGCTGGTCTCCCAGTGCCCTCCAGTGCAGTCACTGCCAACTCAAGTGGAAGCCACAGTGGGTTGCCAAACCAGAGCACTGGCAAAGTTCTGTTTCTGGGGATGTGCACTGTGGAGGAGGTTGCTGGGTGCAGCCATACTTGGTGTGCCAAAGGAGAGCCGGGAACTGCATTTTTAACAGGGAAAATCAGGATGAAAATAGGTGCTCAGAGGCAGGAAACTGGTTCCATAGACTAAGCCTTGGAGAGTTGGAAGCTTTCACGGCCAGTGACACAGTTCTGAAATGCAGCTCTGTGTTCGCTAATGAAGCTGGATAAACAATTGTGCAGACATGTCTGTAGTGTAAATCCACAGAAACCACTGGAAGGACAGACAGAGGGCAGGTTCCCGCCTGGCTGAGATGCTATGTTGGATGACCTTTTCTTCTTAGTGACAGTAACTAACTGTGTAGATCAAGCCTGACATCATGAAATTCACAGAAATAATAGACAAAGCATGCAAACTCCCAGCACCCCCAGCCCTGGGATGCCTTTCTGCACATTTGGTCTGTGTCCTGGTAGAGTACACTGCTTTGTGCATGGTGCCACAGGGTGTGCATCCTGAAGACACACTCCACTGTTGATCCACCCAGCCCTTACAGATGTCCACTTTTGACTTCCTTTCCCTTCTGTTTCCTCCAGTAGAGGCTGAGGCTTAGGTTGTGGCTGGCTTCTAGGGACCTAGGCTAGCTAAGGAGAGTGTTCTAACATTCATTCATGCTCCAAGGCCTTTCTTTTCTACTCTTTGACAGTTATACTTATTTTAAACTTAAATTATACTTATTTGTGTGCGCATGTGTGGAGGTCAGAGGGACAACTTGCAAGAAATCTGTTCTTTCCTTCCATCATGTGAGCTCTGGGAATCAAACTTGGCTGGTTAGACTTGGCGGCAGGCAACCTTATCTGCTGAGCCATCTTACTGGCCCTAGATGTTTCTTTGACTCTACCATGTATCACTTTTTAAATGTACATGTGTGCAGCTGGATGTGGGGCTTTTGCCTATAATCCCAGCACTTGGGGCAGAAGCAAGAGGATAATAGAGAGTTCAAGGCCAGCCTGGGCAAATGGACAGATTGTTTCACAAGAATAAAAAGAAGAAACAAGTTCTATGTGTAATCAGAAAAAGAATGGATAAGAGAAGGAAAAACAATGTCTTCCAGTGACTCATGACATCGCTGAAAATTAGAAGCTTGGACATTTTTTACAGAGCTAGCCTGTCTTTTTGTGGTTGTCGGAGCTGGGCTCAGCAGGGAAGTTGGGTAGCCTGCCAAGCTCTGGGTGTTTGCGGTTGTGTGGGGGTGGCACTAAGGCCTCCTCCCTTGGGCTCTGTGGAGAATGTGGGACTGGTAAGAATTGCAGGGAGGCCAGGAGGATGCTCAGGATCGGGAGGTGGGGTGAGGAGCCGTCTTCCTGTTTGTTGAGTACCTGCAAATATAGGCCAGGAGATATTAGGGAACAAAGGGCCAAAGTCCTTATTTATGGCCTCGGGGTAGTTAATGTGTAATATTCTGGAATATAAGCCTGACCAAGAGGTGATACCTTGAGCACGAGCCTCTTGGAGCGTCTGGGAGAGCTGAGGCCGGGAGCTGTCACCATGTCGGTGAGGATGCTGGAGGGCCCACTTCCCTCCTCTCACTTGTCTTTGCTTGAGTGTGTGGGTTGGGGTGTTTTGGGGGTCCTCTATTGCTGCCTTTCTCTTGGTCTGTTTCTGCATGAGCATCAAAAAAAGAATGCTGGATTGTCCAGCATGGTGGCTCACACCTTTCATCCCAGCACTCAGGAGGCAGAGACAGGTGGGATCTCTATGACTTCAAGGCCAACCTGGTCTACATAGTGAGTTCCAGGACAGCCAGATCAATATATGTAGAGACCCCATCTCAAAAGAAAGAAAGAAAGAAAGAAAGAAAGAAAGAAAGAAAGAAAGAAAGAAAGAAAGAAAGAAAGGAAGGAAGGAAGGAAGAAAGGAAGGAAGAAAGGAAGGAAGGAAGAAAGAAAGAAAGAGAAAGAAACTTGGGTAGATCGTCTCTAAACCCCTTACCATTGAAGCTGTCTATCTCTGAGCTACCACCAGTCTCACAGCCACGACCTCTCTGTGGGAATGGTACTAGTAATATCAGTTGTGACTGTTAACCTCTATTGAGTCTCATAAAAAGAGAAGTTGAGGTGCAAGGGCTGGGGAAAGATTCCATATCAATGATGGAGTCTGTATTTACCATGTTTGAGGCCCTGGGTCTTATCTCTAGCACCAAAAAATATCATGTTTTTAAAGGAATCATGTGGAATCTAGCTTTGTGGGTAGAGTGCTTACTTGCCCAGAATGTATGAAGCCCTGGGTTTGATTTCCAGCACTGTATGTGGTGATGCAACCTGAAAGGCTAGCACTCAAGGGCCAGAGGCAGATGGGGCTCTGAATTTGAAGTCAACTTGGTCTACACAGTAAGTTCCTGGCCAGCCAGAGGTACATACTGAGATTTTGTCTCAAAAAAGAGAAAGAAAGAGGCTGGGCATGGTGGTGCACACCTTTAATCCCAGCACTCAGGAGGCAGAAGCAGGCAGATCTCTGTGAGTTTGAGGCCAGCCTGGTCTCCAGAGTGAGTTCCAGGCCAGCCAGGGCTGTTACACAGAGAAACCT